GGCAATCATACTCCAAGCTTATGCCCCCCCTGATATACATCTGAAGGGTTTTGTGACTGAGGTTTTACTAAATGGTAATAAATGGTGTTTTCCTAACAGCATCTAGCTCCTCCAGGTCCTGGAAACTTTGCTTCCGAAATTCCTTAGAGACTCACACTATCCCTAACCCCCTCCCAGCCTGAGGGTGTATAATCGGTTACCTGTCACAACAGTGCAGCTCTTTCTGCCCACAGGTCCTGTCCCATGCTTTAATAAAATCACCTTTTTGCCCCAAAGATGTCTTGGCCATTGGCTCCGCACCACCCCACCATCACCTCAAAACCCCATCATCTCCAAGGTAGAGTACACTTTTCTTGTAGAGATACAATAAATGGCCCCTTCCATAAGACATATGGCAAGATACAGGGAAGGGTGCCACCACCAAGGTCAGTAATTGCATCTCTGTGACCTGTGCTTCCATTCCCACCCCACTCGCCCTTTTTCTCTCTGCTTCTTACAACACATCTTCTCTGCTGCTGACTCTGCTTTCTTCTTTCACTCAAAGGGTCTCTAGTGATTAGGGGTACACCTGTACAATCCAGAATTCTCTCTCCATCTCTGTCTCAAGATCCTTAATTCATATCTATATCTATGAAGTCCCTTTGGCCATGTACGGTAACACATTCCCAGATCCCAGGGATTAACATTTGGGTATCTTTGGAGGGCCATTAGTCTGCTTGGAAACAGAAGTTTTCTACTCTTTGATTATTTCAGCCAAAGCCAGTTTCAGTTGTTGGCAATGAAGAACCATAATTAAAACACTAGTATTTCTAAAAGTGTGTTCAATGTATCCGAAGATGGCCTCAGATGTACTGAATAGGACTGTTTGAAAGTGGACCAGTGAATATGCCTTTTTTTTTTTTTTTTGGTTTGTTTTGCCAAGTAATTCTTATGCACGGTAAATATCTGCATCCATGATTTTAATGTTGTGTTTATATGAGAATAAATTTTAAGTGTTCCTCTCTTTCAAGAATACCCCTGTGGTTCTTATTCCCAGTTTAAAGCAAAACGGTTTAGTAGGCAGTGGGACTTAATGGGAAAAGGCTGGGCTTTGGAACCAGACTTCAGTTTGAATTTTGGGTCTCATACTTTTCAGCCACAACTCTTCTGAGCTCTATCCATTCACACTTAAGGTTGACCAAATCCCGTTCCCTCTAATCAGAATTTTCTTATCCACATGCAAAGCAGTATCATTGATTTTAATAAACTAATGTAAAGGTGGAATAAGATATTTGTATAACAAATAATAGTGCCTAGAACATGGTTAGTGTACAAAGAAAAAGTTTCCCTGTCAAAATGCAGCACAATGTGTATATCCATAAACAAGTAACTCCCGTGTTAACTTAAGACATTGCTTAATGTTCCTTTTACTGGTCCCAGAATTTTGCATTTTCTGATTTTCCTTTAGTCAGCACCGAGCCATGGACATTATGTCAACCCCTCCTTCCTGTCCAGATGTCCTTTCTCTCCACAGTTTTACTTCAACAACTTCCGGATGCAGCCCTGTTGCCTGTTGATTTTTGTTCAGGTTTTGTGATTAAGAGGTTGTGGCATGTTAATCTCTGTAAAGTATTTCTCTGTGGACTTTTCCAGACAGCCCCTCTTTCATCTGGACCTCCTTTAGCCTTCAAAGGCACCATTCAGGGCCAAATCTGAGGTAGGTTTAAGGCCTGGAGTAAATCACGTTGGGAGGCCCCTTCTTTCTGGTTAAAAGGAGAAAAGGAGAAATGATAAGATATAGGGAAAGGTCTCTAATGCTTGAGAAGAATGAAGGCGAAGGCATCAATATTCCAGGTGTCTGGCTTCTGTGCCCTTTAAAATTTGTGATTTATATCTACTATGGCGCTCTTTGAGGTTCAGAACTGTATAATTGTCAAATATTTTAATAAATAACCAATTCATATTGCAGTATTTCTGATGGCATTTTTAGAAAACAGTCAGCAATTTTCATATTTTTCCTACAAAAATTATTTCAGAGTAAGTCTTAAATTATTATCACTACTAAAAACTAACATACTCATTTATAGTTGGCATCAGATGAGCTTATTTTTATAAAGAGTAACTGAACTATATTAGCATTAGAGAAAAGACTCAATCACATTGCAATAATATACCCAGCAAAATAAGTAAAACATCTGGTCAAACAGCTGTATTTTGATGTATATAAGCCATAAAATTAAATTAACTAATTTTTGTGACTGATTTTCCTCTCCTTGCTTAAAAATATTGATCATAACTCCATTTGCTTTGGAAAATGGATTTCCTATTTTCTTTGGAATACATATGTATGTGGATTTCAGCATCTGTGTCTATATTAGGGAATGGCGATAAGGATACCCTATCCGGTAGGTCACTGCAGTTGAGAGTTTTCGGATCAGACTCAGATAACAGAATGCTAGATATATCACAGAAATTCACTCACCTACACTATTTAAAATACTTAATAACTCTCTTGGACAATATATAACTAAAGTCAGTCTCTTTGTGCCTCTGAAAACAAGTAATCTAAACCAGCTTCTAAAAAGTAAGGTTACTGTCATCCCCTCTACTGTTGCCCAGTTGGAATTAAAAGATGATATTTTTGGTCAGTATTTATAGAACTATTCATTTTAAATCCTCTAATTAATTACCTCCACTTTCATGATCCTTATGTGCATATGAAATACTCACAAACTAGTAACAATGATTTCAAAACCTCTGTCCCTCGGCGTCTTACCTTGTGGAGAAATGACACAAATTATTAGTTTCCACTCTTAAAAGGATAAGAGGGACACCTGGGTGGCTCAGTAGGTTAGGCATCTGACTCTTGATTTTGGCTCAGGTATGATCTCACCGTCTTGAGATTGAGCCCTACATGGGGCTCCATGCTGACCACACAGAGCCTTCTTGGGATTCTCCCTCTCTCTCTGCCCTTCTCCCACTTGCATGCATGCTCTCTCTTTCAAAATAAATAAAATAAAATAAAACTTTTAAAAAGGACAAGAGCCACCTCTTTTAAAAATTGAAAATAGAGCTATGAAGCTAATGCAAATTTATATATGTATAAAGTATAAATAATGTATATATAAATGTATATGTGTGTGTGTGTATATATGTGTGTGTGTGTATATATGTGTGTGTGTGTGTGTGTGTGTGTGTGTGTATATATATAATTGACAGTCATTCGTGCTTTTAATATTTTCTTTCATTCTAAAAGTTCCCCTTCTCCATCTTTCTGGAACATAAGAGAATACAGATATTATTTTTAAAACCCAATAAGTTCTTTCCTCGACTTGATGTTGATTTGCTTCCTCTTAAATTATTCAATATTAAGCACCTGCCATATGCCCAACATGGTACTGGAGACACAGAAAAGGTCACAGACAAATTTCTTGCTCTTGGAAAAAAAAAACAACAAAAACATAATTTCCTTCCATTCTGAGCCACTGATTCCTTCGGAAGTTACTAACACCTTGTGTCATTAGGTTGTAAAGAATTTATTCCAGACAGGATAGAGAAAAGTTACTATTCTTCTTTTCTTTAATGTGACACTTCCAGGGTCTGTCATATCCTGTAATTTTCCATTTTCCTGAAACACGAATTGTAATCCTAAACTGCCAGGCAAGTGTGAGAAGGATTCACTTTCCTAGTAAATATGAGCAGAGGGGGTATGATGTGAATGGTGTGTGTTAGCAAAAAAAAAAAAAAAAGAGGTTTGCAGAAGAAGAGAAAGAACATCTACTTTATATTTCACTACACTGAAACAGACAGAAAATGGGGTGGGGGCCATATTTACCATATCCTTTCTCCCTAAAGCTAGGAGAACGGCGTCATATTAAGTGCCACCCTAATGAAAAGAGAGAGTTTGGACCACTGGCCAAGATACGGCTGGTTTACTGGTTTGGAGTGAATGCAGAAGATGTTGGCAGCAATGGCGAGGGAGGGAAGGGGTAGTGGCCCACAGAGTACCAGTTCTCAGGGGAGGGGATTGAGGGAGAGGAAGATCTAACAAGGCTGTCAGAGGGAAGACATCTGCATCTCATAGGTTTTTGTTTTCTCAGCGCTGCTGCCTTTGAGGGTGTGTATGCACTTAAGCTTATATTTTAACATATAATCTCATCTAAAAATGCAGTAGGATTAGTATCCATGGATTCAGGAGTTTCCTTAGATGTCAGGGGTCTACTCTACTAGATTCCGGTCCTATCTTTCAAACGGCCTTTGACAGGTAGGTACACTCACCCATCAAACGGATTTCTCAACTTTATTAAAATGTAATCTGTCACTGTTTTTACTCTGGAAAATTTACACAGGCATGCATTTACACTTCGTCTTTCCACCACAAGCTCAATTTTAGGAGACAGAAACAAATTTGTCAACACTTTTCGAATGAAGGAATACATACCAAGTGCATCGCCCTTAACACAACGATAAAAAGGAGATGTGGAAGAAAAGGTGAAATATGAAAATACATTGTAACTGTCGTTGGCAAAGAAAAAAGATGAAAATGTCGCAAAAAAATAATAGCATACTCAAGATTTGAGATCTAAGTGATGAATCCTGTATTTCCAAGTGGAGGAAATGGCCTCCGTGCTAGCAGCAAATAACTGGGCCTTCTGTTATTTGTTGAGCAAATTACTGGGAGCTGAAAAATAAGAGGCATGCAAAATCACCTTACAGCTGACTTGTTCAGCAAAGTTCAGTGGATGTAAGGGGTGAAAGCTGTACCTGGCAAGAAATAAGAGAAATTCAGCAGGCTAAAAAAAATGCTGCCTCCCACTGCTGCCTATTAAATAAGTCTTACAATATTGTCAGTGGCACCTGGGTTTTACTCAAAGTCAGGGAGAGAAAATGGAATCTTGGCAGATTAAAGCAATAGTCGTGCTGAAAATGTAAACACACGTACAGAGATACACACATGCACACACACACACATACACACACACACACAGAGTATGTAATTTTTTTCATTTGTTTCTCTTCAGGCAAATTAGAGTGTGGACTTCCTGGCTAATTACCCTTATCCTGACTCCCAGAGAGCCGACCGCCTTCTCAATAACTTACAGGTGACTTATTATTTTTTTTTCCCTGCCAGTTCTGCTCTGTGTTTAAATCAAAAAGGCAGATAACCCATTTGTATCAAATTATGCATGACAGTTTGGGGAGTGGGTTATATACTTCTAGGAGAGGCACAAACCCCAAGCTGTTGCATTTCATTACCCACATGGATCTCGGTTCCAGAGGCAAGGGTTTTTGTAGTGTTTAAAGATAATTTCTTGCAAGTCTGTTGGCCTCATTGTGAAGAATTCAGAGATTTAAAGGGGTTGTAAAAAGTATACCTCCCAAACATGTTATCTGTTCCTTGAATTTGGAGGAACAGAGAACGGCAAAAGACAAAACAACAGAAACAAAACAACAGAAATCACAGTGTGTGAAACATCTACAGTCGTTCTGCAAATTGTGGAATTGTCTCTTTCTCCACATTTAACAGTTACTTTTTTAAAAAATTTTTAATGTTTATTTTTGAGAGAGAGAGAACACGAGCGGAGAAGGGGCAGAGAGAGAGAGAGTGACACAGAATCCGAAGCAGGTTCCAGGCTCTGAGCTGTCAGCACAGAGCCGGAAGCATGGCATGAACCTCAAGATCATGACCTGAACCAAAGTCAGACGCCCAACCGAGTCACCCAGGTGCCCCAAGTTTATTATTATTTTTTATTATATATATATATTTTTTGTTTGTTTGTTTGTTTTTTGAGAGAGAGAGAGACACACACACAACATGTGAGCAGGGAAGGGGCAGAGAGAGAAAATCCCAAGCAGGCTCTGCACTGTCAGCTCAGAGCCTGATGCAGGGCTCAAACACAAGAACTGTGAGACCATGACCTGAGCTTAAATCAGGGGTCTGATGCTTAACCAGCTGAGCCATCAGGCCCCCCTCAGCAGTTGCTTTTGACTATCATGTGAGGTTATAGATATACATGATCAACTAGTGTTGTTGGGATCATCTTTCAAAGTTGGATGTATTACTTCCTTAGTTTCTGGGCATCAGAGTAACCAGGCTGGGATTAGGGAGGAGAGTGTCCAGTTCATAACAGATAGCTTAGGCCATATGGTAATATATGCAACCTCTACCAGAGCCAGAATTTTGTTTCAAAGGAAAAAAGTGTGTGCCCGAGAATGCATAGTTTTGCCCCGTAAATCAAAAACTTTAAGCTGCCTTTATTGAGCTATTTGATCTGTTATAGAACAGGCTGGTTTTGTAAGGATGAAGGATAAGGGCTGCTTGTACTTTGGCCAAAATCAGTTGCAGATAGTTCTCTGGTCTTGGGACACACCCAGAGTTGACAGCCTTCTGGTCACCTGGAAAATTTAACAAATCTGCTTACCCCAATATGGTACATATTGGACGCAAAAGCGAGTGGCCATTTCATAAAAATAAAAGGCAAAAAAGGCAGCAAAGAGTTCTTTACCTTCTGCTAGTGTCCCGATACATCCCAGATGACTTGATCCGTAGAAACCCCAAGAACAGTAAGCATCTCTATTTGCATGGATTTGATCTCCCACCCACTTGAATGTATTTGAGACACCTAATTCTTCTTGTTCTCCAAATCCAGTTAACGTGATACTTTCAGTGATGTGGATCTGGAGGCAGTTTTATGGATCGGGAAGTGGTCAGGTTCTCCCCCAACTGAATTGTGTCTCAGAGCCAGAGGGCTGAGATAATCCCGTGGCAAAACAATGGAAGTATATGTTCCTTCAAAATGACAACAAAGTAGATGTAGAGAAAAGAGTACGGTTCTGATCAATAAATACATGCCAGGTATCAAGCTTTTAGTCATTTGCTGCATGAGCTCCAGTTGAAGTCTTTATCTGATTACGTTCATTGATAGTCCTCTGCTAGTCTCCAAAACTTATCTACTCCTGCACATGTTGAGCTGGAGAGCTAGAAGGGATGTGAGCAGAATCAGTGCCTTTGTAAATGTCACATCTTTGATGGTGGTGGGAATGTCTGTGATTCCACGAGGAATGCAATTATTCTTATTTTTATTGCCATTTAAAGGAAGTTCCAGAAGCTTCTATATGAGCTTTCCTATCAAAACAGCCTGCAGTCCAGGAAGCTAATGTAGAAGCCTGTCAGTTGCCAAGGGCATATTTTGGCTACGCGTTCAAGAACTGGGAAAGTAAGCATGTGAATTTCTGGATCTTACAGGCTCTATGATATAGACAGATATCACAATGCCATTTATTACTACCCTTTATAAGATGTGTCACTGGATCACAGCAACTGCCTACACACCCAGCCATTAGATGCCCAGAGCCACAGGCAGAAAAAAAAAATAATAATAATCCACAGTTTTCTGAATTGTTTCCCCCGTCTTCTTCCTTAAGGAAGAAATATTTACAGAACTAGTATGATTTGCAGGTGTAACAGTTAACTCCTCAAAGTTATCAGGTTTCTTCTTTAAGAGTCTGTGAGTCCATGAAATAAGTTAGGAATAGAAATTGGGTGAGAAGTCACAAGTCCCTACCATGGTTGGTTATAGAAGTCAGGTAGGACGTGAGTGGGATGGATGCCCATCTGTTTTTGCTCTTCGGGTCCCATGATCAGTCAAGCACCGTCAAATACCTTGCATTTCACACCATTCAGATTACTATGGCAGACTGCTGCCTCGCAAGACCCCGCCCTTAATAGCCCTCTGAAAGTTATACTGTCTGTGTCTCCACACCTCTGCTATCCTCTCACTCCCATTCTACCGGGGAGATCATATCAACTGCCCCTTCTCCCACCAGCTACTAAAATAATTTTTTAGGAATGCTTGCACTCCCCTCCCCAGTGTGTTTCCAAAGGCCTTGGGGTAAGGGGACTTTCTAGGTCCTTTGTGAATCAGAGTTTGCTTGAGTGGAAGACTGAACAAGAAATTTTCACTCACTTATTTTAATCTCCACAGTCTTTGGATTCCTTCCTCTGGAATCTACCCCAGTTTTTTGTCATGTCAGTGCTGTCATGGGGTGCTATGGAGTCCGGGTTTTAGCTGCTAATTCAATACGTGGGATCTAGAATTTTTGGTAAGTGCACCTATGTGGCTAAAGTCAGCTTAATCGGGGGCGCCTGGGTGACTCAGACGGTTAAGTGTCCAACTCCTGATTTTGGCTCAGGTCATGATCTCACAGTTCCTGAGTCCCAGCCCTGCATCAGGCTCTGTGCTGACAGTGTGGAGCCTGTTTAGGATTCTCTCTCTCTCTCTCTCTCTCTCTCTCTTTCTTTCTCTCTCTCTCTCTGCCCCTCCCCTGCTCATGTTTTCTTTTTCTCAAAATAAATTTTAAAAATAATAATAAAATAATAAAGTCAGTGTAATCTAAAATAGACTGTTCCTTTCTCCTTCATCAAGTACTCCCAAGATCTATTTCAGGTACTCATTGGAACTTTGTAAATTAAATTAACTAACCTTTTGTGATGTAAAGTTCGTTTGCTGGATAAACTGGGAGCTGATTCTAGTTATAGAAATGGAAACAAAGGGACAAGAAAGGGGAGGAGGGCCCACAAGAAAATGTGTTTCATGTTGCCAAGTAACTCCATCAGCTGAGGAAGGCGTTAAGTGTCTTCAAGGAAGACAGAGGTTCTTTGGAGGAAGGCAGTTTAGGGATGATGGGGCAGTGCAGTATCTCAAACCCAGTGCCTTATGCCTCATCACTCTGTCTGTTTCAGAATCCTATTCTTTTCTGATTAGTGTGTTTACTTTTACAGAAGATATTTAGGAGACTGAATTTGACGCATTTGGGAATGCAGCTACGCTTAGGCTTGACATGCCGTTTAGATTTTCATTATTTTACTTGTGCAGCTGCTAAAAATTAGTGTTTCTTTATCATCAGTCCTGGAAAATTCCCAGGTTTTAGTTATTATTCCCTTACCAAATATTCAAGGATCAGAGCATGTCATTCTGTCTCTCTCTCTCTCTCCCTCTCTCTCTCCCTCTCTCTCTCTCTCTCTCTCTCTATGTAGTGCCATTCCCAGCAGACAGTCCATATTCAGTTCTCAACATTTTACGTTCTTCCTACTGTTCTTATAGTAGTGACCACTTTCCTCCAAGCCAAGCCTCAGTGAGCACTTCATTTCTGACTACTAATTTACTCTTCCATCTAATATCCCTGCCCTGATTGTTAAATGAATTTTCACCTAGCCAGATAACCAGTACCAGATTCTCTGATTTCCCTGACGATATCTCCCCTGCGTCTCACACTCTGCCGATATCTATGCCAGTCAGGATTCTGTAATGATGAAATCAGAAACAAACCCCTGCAAATTTGAACAGAGACCCCTACTAATTTGAACCGCTGCTTTTTAAGGTAGAATGGAGATAGGTCACAGAATACCTTGGAAGACCAAGAACCAGTATCAGATATTGAGAAAGAAACTAGACATGTTAGAGGTAGGGTGACCAACTCATGCTGGTTTGTCCGGGACTCTCCCAGTTTTAGCCCTGAAAGTCCCAGGTCCTGGGAGATCCCTCAGTCCTGGGCAAACTGGAAAGAGTGGTCACCCTACCTGGCGTGCTGTAGTAACACTTCAAGTCATGCCACAAGAGTAGCCTGGTTATGTCACACTGTCTCCAACACTGGATCTTAGAAACTGTCAGGGCATCTGGGTGGCTCAGTTCATTAAGCACTCGACTCTTGGTCCTGATTTTGCAGTTTGTGAGTTCGAGCCCCACACTGGGCTCTGAAATCACAGAGCCTGCTTGGGATTTCTCTTGCCCTCTTTCTCTGCCTCTACCCGGCTTGTTCTCACTCTCTCCAAAAATAAATAAATCAATTAAAAATAAAATACCATCACTGGCTCCACTGTGACGACTGTGTCTTGAAATTACCCCACTGCCAGAATTCTAATTAGTCCCACCAAGTCTTTTTTTGGCCTTGCTGCAGATCCAATATCCAGATCCAGAGCATCCGTATTGGTCTCCACTAACTACCAAGGGTCAGCTTTTGCAGGATTTGCAGCTTCTTCTCTCTGGAGGCCCAGCTCTTGGATGCCATTAGGACTTTTGTGACGCTACAAGGAAAGAAAAGG